GACCGGTATAACACAGTCATACTCAAAGCAGGATAGTTTTTGCTTGACTTCCACTTCCCTTTCTCTCATTGTGCTTCCCTGGCACAATAATACATTGCTGTGTCCTCAGTTTTCAGGCTGTTCATTTGCAGAAACATCAGGCTGTTGGAATCATCTCTGGAGATGGTGAATCGTCCTTTCACTTTATCCGAGTAATAAATGGGATTTGAGTCAGTACTTATGTAAGCCACCCACTCCAAGGGCTTTCCAGGACTTTGTCTCATCCAGTCCAAATAGCCACCACTGAAGGTGAATCCTGATCCTCGACAAGAGAGACGGAGGGATTCTCCGGGTCTTTTCACATCCCCGCCGGATTCTACCAGCTGGATCTCCAAATAGACACCTGCGAAGAAAGACTGCTTAATGTGGGCTTATGTGTGTTAGAAATTGAAATACAACAGCATCCTTTGATGGTCAGAAGTATCAAAATTACCTCTGAAGAGTGCAAAAGAGAAAACAAATGGCAACCAAAATATCATTTTCTCCTCGTTTTTAGTTTTGTTTTTGTTTTTTGCTCTGGAAGGAATTCACTTGAAATGATGTCTGGCTTCCTAGACATGCAGAAGAAATTAAGATCGGGTGTAGTGATTTGCATCTAGATTTGCATAGCACTCAGAATAAAAGAGCAACAGAGAACACGCAATTAGCTACTGGATCTAACCAACTGCATAAGAGGTCATTCTCCACTTATGATCACAATGGAGCCCAAAAATTTATGTTGCTAAGTGAGAAATTTGGGGCAAATTTCAAGTGAGATTTGCCCCATTTTATGGCCTTTCTTGCCACATTTGTTAAGTGAATCACTGCAGTTGTTAAATTAGTGATACGGTTTTTAATTGAAGCTGTCTTCCCCGCTCACTTTGCTTGTCAGAAGGCTGCTAAAGAGAATAGAATAGAATAGAATAGAATAGAATAGAATAGAATAGAATAGAATAGAATAGATAATAGAATAGATAATAGAATAGAATAGGGTAGGGTAGGGTAGGATAGGGTAGAGTAGAGTAGGGTAGGGTAGGGTAGAGTAGAATAGAATAGAATAGAATAGAATAGAATAGAATAGAATAGAATAGAATAGAAGTATTTATTTATTTATTTATTTATTTATTTATTTATTTATTTATTTATTTATTTATTATATTTATATACCGCCCTTCTCCCAAAGGACAGAGTAGATAATAGGGTAGGTAGGGTAGAGTAGAGTAGGGTAGGGTAGGGTAGGGTAGGGTAGGGTAGGGTAGGGTAGGGTAGAATAGGATAGGATAGGATAGGATAGGATAGAATAGAGTAGGATAGAATAGGATAGAATAGATAATAGGGTAGGGTAGGGTAGGGTAGGGTAGGGTAGGATAGAATAGAATAGAATAGAATAGAATAGAATAGAATAGAATAGAATAGAATAGAATAGAATAGAATAGAATAGAATAGAATAGTTTCTCAGTTTTGATGATGTGACCACGAGGATGCTGCAATGGTCATGTCACTTTTTTTCAACGCTGTTGTCACCAAATGAACTCTTGTAAGTTATGGGCTACCTGCATTTTGCCACCTTGAATTAATTATAAAACATAATAAAGTCAGGGTTTTTTTAAAAAAAAAACCTAAGGAATAAAATAATTTCTTCTGGGGATAGAAGTTTTCAATGGACGAGAAGAATGTTAATTTTCAAGAAAACGTTCCAGAAAGTAACACTCAATATAAATACAGCTATAAACCACATCCTTCATCTTTCTGATTCAGTTATTCCCCAGGGATAAGATATTTCCTTTTGTAGATCTTTGCTGCCCCCTTGTGAATTTTTTTTTTAAAAAATAGAATGAAAATAATTTTAAGGCCTCTTTTTGCCTTCTCCTTTTGCATGTAAAATAAGTGAACCACGATATTCAAAAAAAGTAATGATTTCTTCCTTTTGGGTCTAATGGAAAAAGACCTGGAGGGAAAAGAAATTGGAATTTTGTTACTATATATGTTGACAGCAGAAAGACTCTGTATGCACAAATATGGAAGGACTCTTCGATTCCTAACATAGAATAACAGAGTTGGAAGGGACCTCAGAGGTCTTCTAATCCAACCCCCTGCTTAGGCAGGAAACCCTACACCACTTCAGACAAATGTTTATCCAACATCTTCTTAAAAACTTCCAGTGTTGGAGCATCCACAACTTCTGGTGGCAAGTTGTTCCACTGATTAATTGTTCTAACTGCCAGGAAATTTCTCCTTAGTTCTAAGTTGCTTCTCTCCTTGATTAGTTTCCACCCATTGCTTCTTGTCCTGCCCTCAGGTGCTTTGGAGAATAGCTTGGCTCCCTCTTCTTTGTGGCAGCCTTCCTTTATGTTCCAACTTTCACAGCCATACATTGCAACTGGGAAAACCATAGCCTTGACTATACGGTCTATTCATAGGCAAATGCCCTCACCCAAGATTAAAAACAAAGGTAGGATTAGCCTTCTACCAGTGGTAAAATGTAAAATTTGTTACTACCGGTTCTATGGGCGTGGCTTGGTGGTGGTGGTGGGTAATGTGACTGGGTGGGCGTGGCCAACTTTTATATATATATATACTTTTTAAAACATTTTTTCTACAACCTTAAGAGGTTTCAGAAAAAAAAATGCTTTTAAAAGGCTCTGCCAATCAGGCAACTCAGCTGGGATCGTCAGAGGCTTTTAAAAGCATTTTTTTCTACAACCTCTTCAGCCGAAGAGGTTGCTGAATGTCCTTGACTCTCAGAGAAAAAGAATATTGTTATGGCTATATATCTTCACCAACTCCTTGCAAATCTCCCCTCCCGTTTCCCCAGGCTCTAAACATGGCAGCCCGGAAGTTTGAAAGAAAAGATGGCTTCCAGGTCTGACAAGATCTTTATAGAAATGGCTTGTTCAGATTATTATGGAAAAACAAACAAACAAACCACCAGACAGCTGTGATTTGATGTTAATGCCTTATTCTACTGCAACAGACAGAATTTTTTTATTTGTTTTATTGTTTTTGTGTGGGGTTTTATATTCTGTGAGCCACCTTGAGTTGCTGTGTGAGAATAGGCGGCAATATAAATTCAATAAATTCAATAAATAAATAAATAAATAAATATCCTTGCTCAGACAGGAGAATCTGTACCAAGATAATAGAAATGTGTCATGTGACATCAAAATATACAAGGAGACACAGAGGTGGAAGTAACTCTCAAAAAAGAGCCGAGGTGGCGCAGTAGTTAGAGTGCAGTACTGCAGCTACTTCAGCTGACTGCTAGTTCAGCAGATCAGCGGAACAAATCTCACCGGCTCAAGGTTGACTCAGCCTTCCATCCTTCCGAAGTGGGTAAAATGAGGACTCAGATTGTTGGGGACAATATATACATATAAAGAACAGTTGCTGGAATTGGGTATGTCTAGTTTAATGGAAAAAAGGACTAGGGGAGACATGATAGCAGTGTTCCAATATCTCAGGGGCTGTCACAAAGAAGAGGGAGTCAAACTATTCTTCAAAGCACCAAGAGGGCAGGACAAGAAGCAATGGATGGAAACTAATCAAGGAGAGAAGCAACCTAGAACTAAGGAGAAATTACCTGACAGTTAGAACTTCCAACTCTGTTATTCTGTTAAGACATTGGATAAATCAGCCTAAATTCATATTAGTTAGACCAATATTTTTATTGTTGTTGAATATTGTTGAACTGATTAAAGAGGGTGGGGATTGCAACCCAATAACTTGGATATCAATTTGCAAAGTGGTTGTGGGATACATCAATACTGTCCTGAACAGGGGTGAAATGTTCCTGGTTCGGACCGGATTGCCCAATCCGGTAGCGATGGCGGCGGGTGGTTCGGAGAACCGGTAGCAAAAATCCCTCCCCACCCCCATGCCCAGCTGAGCCGCACAATCATCAGAGGCTTTTTATTTTATTTTTAAAAGCATTTTTTCTACAACCTCTTCGGCTGAAAAAATGCTTTTAAAATTAAAAAGAAAAGCCTCTGCCGATCAGGCAAGTCAGCTGGGATCGTCAGAGGCTTTCTTTTTTTAAAAAAAAGAAAAGCCTCTGCAGATCAGGCAAGTCAGCTGGGATCATCAGAGGCTCTAAAAAGAAAAAGAAATGCCTCTGCTGATCAGGCAAGTCAGCTGGGATCGTCAGAGGCTCTAAAAAGAAAAAGAAATGCCTCTGCTGATCAGGCAAGTCAGCTGGGATCGTCAGAGGCTTTTAAAAGCATTTTTTTACAACCTCTTTGGCCGAAGAGGTTGTAGAAAAAAATGGTTTTAAAAGTTAAAAAAAAAAAGTTGGCCATGCCCACTCAGTCATATTACCCACCACCACCAAGCCATGGCCACAGAACCGGTAGTAACAAATTTTTACATTTCACCACTGGTCCTGAACCATTGTATTATATTTTGAAGACATGACCAGGAATACATATTAGTATTGTTTCTGTTTGAAGAAAACCATGGGGGAAAGTTTGAAACACAGTTCTTTCAATAGATGTACCCCCATGTCCAGAAACACATTTTAGTATTATTCCTGTTTGAAGAAAATCAAAGTTTAAATTCAATTCTTTTATTAGATATACCACTAGATGAACATATTTGAACCCAATGTGGGACATAAGGATCAGCAGAATATTGATTTATCATTTTCCCTTCGGGTTCAAAGTTGATCCCAACTCACCCATGGGCTATGCTATTCTGTTCCTATTTAATCAATGTGATCACCTTGGAACCCATCTCCCACTGGCTGTCCCATCAGGGAGACCATCAAGGACACACACAGAGAGACAAAAAGAGCCTCTTCTTCCAATGTGTTGTTGGTAATACACAGCAGAGTTGTTTCTCCTATAATTACTCCATAATTATAATTAATTTCATCATATGACCTCCAACGATTATCCACAAGATACCAAATGAGAAATCAATATGCAATATGCAGCTGAGAAAGACTTTATAACATCTAAGTATTCTTCCACTGGTTTTATGGGAAAGGAGACTCTGTCCACGTGTGAATCTATCCAGTTCTCCACCGTTTTGAACAGAAATGGCTTCAGATCTTTAAACTGCTTTGTGGCGTTTTTTAAAAAAATTGTTGAGTTTGTTGTGCAGGGTATATTGAGATACCCTTGTTGCTTTGTCTCTAAAACAGGTGACCAAAACTGGAATCAGATGCAGCAGACTCTTTTCTGCAGGAACACACATCTGCAAGGATGGTGAGACTCCTGGCACTGATCCTTTTGCTATCACTTGAAGAGTGCAAAAGAGTGACCACAAAGTGCCCTCGAACCCAATTCTTCACTGTTCCTCATGACTGGTACCAGCCGGGGACACTTCTCATTGGTGGGATGGCATCTCAGGTCATTTATGTCTTTAATGAAGTTTCCTTCAAAAATATCCCTTCACAAGATATTGGCTTTGATCTTCCAGTGTAAGAAACTCAACCCCACTCCCTTCCCAAAACAACTACTGAGTACTACTACTCAACTCCTATAAATAGTACTACTACTCAACTCCTATAAATAGTCATGTGTAGTAAATAAAAATGTAAAACCAAGTTATTCCCTCTACCTTGTTACAGGATATATTCAGGTGATCTTATTTCTGTCAATGTCATTTTCCAGACTGCTTACAGTCACTTTACTATTTTGATATAAGCTGTAGTTTCTTATTATGACTCCTTTTCCTTCTTAAAAAACATTAACTCAGTGTTATCTTCATCTTGCTGCATATGCAGCATTTGTGTTGAATTGCAAAGGAAGTGATGAGTTTTGTTAAATTGGAGAAAGCAATGTTCCATGGCTACAAAGAGTGTATGAAACTTGGGAATATGGATGAAAAAGATGTTAAAATTGACATAGAATATAATTCTTTATTGGCTAAATGTGATTGGACACACAAGGAATTTGTCTTTGGTGCATATGCTCTCAGTGCACATAAAAAGAGAAGATATATTCATCAAGAATCATAAGGTACAACATTTAATGATAGTCATAGGGTACAAATAAGCAATCGAATCATACTAGGAAACAATATAAATTGTAAGGATACAGCAACAAGTTACAGTCATACAATCATAAGTGGGAGGAGATGGGTGATAGGAATGATGAGAAGATTAATAGTAATAGTAATGCAGACTTAGTGAATAGTTTGACAGTGTTGAGGGAATTATTTGTTTAGAAGAGTGATGGCGTTTGGGGAAAAAACTGTTCTGATGTGCAGTGCTCTATAGCATCGATTTGAGGGTAGGAGTTGAAACAATTTATGTCCAGGATGCGAGGGGTCTCTAAATATTTTCACAGCCCTCTTTTTGACTTGTGCAGTATACAGGTCCTCAGTGGAAGGCAGGTTGGTAGCAATTGCTTTTTCTGCAGTTCTAATAATCCTTTGAAGTCTGTGTCTGTCTTGTTGGCTTGTTGCACAACCAAACCAGACAGTTATAAAGGTGCAGATGACAGACTCAATAATTCCTCTGTATAACAGTATCAGCTCCTTGGGCAGTTTGAGCTTCTTGAGTTGGTGTAATAGATAGAAAGATGATAGATAGATAGATAGATAGATAGATAGATAGATAGATAGATAGATAGATAGATAGGGCTAAGTTTGATCGGACACATAAGGAATTTATTTCCAGTGCATAAGCTCTTACAGTACAAACAAGCTACAAGCGTTAAGCTAAGATTGATTAGCAAGCAGTTAGTTAGTTAAGATTAATTTGCAAGCAGGCTAATTATTGCACACTTTTCTCTATGAAGGAATTAACATCAAGTTAGTTATGAATACAGAGAGAAAGGGAGAGAGGGAGAACATTAAAAATTGGGAAGAAGACATATTTCTTTTTAGAACTGTTTCTTATTATCCTAATTAAAAAAATGCTGCATGATTCAGTTTTTGGAAAATCATTTATTGCAGGACTGGAAAATATTTTCCCTAAGAATTGCTCAATTGCTTTGTGTGTTCAGGGAAGACTTTGAATATCACATGTGCTGTGGTTGGAGACATTTCACTGATTTCTACTCAGCTGCATTTCATAATGCACATATTGAAAGCTTGCTCTCTCACGTTAGCTACTCCTCTCTTTTCCATCCATTAGGATGGAAGCTAATCAAGGAGAGAAGCATCCTAGAACTAAGGAGAAATTTGATCACAGTGAGAACAATTAATCAGTTGTCAACTGAACAATTAGCTTGCCTCCAGAAGTGGTAAATGCTCCAACACTGGAGGTTTTCAAGAAGAGATTGGGCAACCATTTGTCTGAAATGGTATAGGATTTCCTCCCTGAGAATGGAGTTGAACTAGAAGACCTCCAAGGTCGCTTCCAACTCTTTTATTCTGTTTTCTGAACCTTGTTTCATCTTCATAATTCTGGTCACATTGCATTATCCCAAGAGTTCTTCTGGTCAAGATGTTCAGATTCATAGGTAAAAAGCCTTGCAACTCTATTTGCAGGATGCTGACCAAATTCTACCAGAATGTGTTGGCTTTGGCATTTGCTGTAAATACAATCAACAAATCTCCAACAATTTTACCAAATATCACACTGGGCTTCCACATCTACGACACCTACTATGATCAGAGGATGACCTATTACAATCTTCTCAATTTGCTCTTTAAATTGCATAGTTTCCTTCCTAATTATGAATGTGGACCCCCTAAAAACCTGATTGCTTTGGTTGGAGGACTTGGATCAGACACCTCTTTCCACATGGCAGATATTTTAGGACGCTACAAGATTCCACAGGTGAGGACCATAGCTGCATAGCTGCAAGGAATAGCTTTGGCTACTTGTATTAATCTTATGTTCATCAGACAAGTGATTTTGAAATAGAAAAGAGAAGCTAGAAAGTCAAAGCCTTGATAGTACAGGGGTTTAGTGCACCCTGTACCCCTGTAATTAACACAGCTGCCTGCAATTTCTGCTGGTTCGAATCTCTCCAAGGCTCAAGGTTGACTCAGCCTTCAACCCTTTCTAAGGTAGGTGAAATGAGGACCCAGTTTGTGGGGGCAATAAGATGACTTTGTATAAAACATACAAAGAATGAAGGCTATTGCTTAACGCATTGTAAGCCGCCCTGAGTCTCCGGAGAAGGGCGGCATATAAATCAAATTTAAAAAAAAAAAGCAATTAAAGCTGAGAGAATTTGAGAAACAAGGACTCCTGGGAGGATCAATGATGTCCCAAATCCTTCTTTCTAATTCAAGTTGGTCATATTTCTCCACCTCTGTTAAATAAGCAAAAGGGAAAGGTTTAGTTTTAGCAAATAGAAAATTGAAAGATAGGAATTTCCTTTCTGCAGGTATGATTGAATGATTGAATAATTGAATAATTGATGGAATGATTGATTGATTGAATGTTTGAATGATTGATTGAAGACATCATGCCTTTCTGCACTTTGTCTTTAAGCTCACATATGGATCGTTTGCTCCTGAAGACATTGTAAAATCCAGGAATCCTACTTTTTATCGCATGGTCCCAAATGATGAGAACCAGTACATGGGAATTATCCATCTGCTTCTACACTTTGGCTGGACATGGGTGGGCCTTTTCACAGGAGATGATGACAGTGGGAAATATTTCTTGCAAAGCATGGAAGCGTTGTTTTCCAAGTATCGAATCTGTTCAGCCTTCATTCAGGTGTTCCCACGCCAAGGCCGTGTCTTGTCCAGTGACGATATGGGTACATTTGGAAATATTCACGTATCTGTTATGGATCAGCGGGCCAGAGTATTCATCCTCTATGGAGATACCATGAATCTTATGTGGTTAATTACCTATAGCACTCTTCTAGTTTCTGACAACGCATATTTAGGGAAGGTGTGGATCATGACAGCCCAGATGGAATTTGCAGTAACGGGCGTGACAAGACGGATGGATTTTCAAATGTTCCAAGGTGCCATATCCTTCGCCATTCATTCCAAGCAACCTCGGGAATTTGAGAAGTATCTTCAGAAGAAAAACCCATACCAGCCTGAAGGTGATGGTTTTGTCCAATTGTTCTGGGAACAGGTTTTTGAATGTTCATTTCCAAATGCTGGAGAAACATTGGAGCCAGATGAACTATGTACTGGGAAGGAGAACCTGGAGAAGCCTCCTCGGTCTGTTTTTGAAGTGAAGATGAGTGGCCACAGCTACAGTATCTACAATGCTGTCTATGCAGTAGCCCATGCTCTCCACGCATTGCACTCATCAAAGAGCAAACGCAGAGCAAGAATGGGGGAGCAAAGACTCAAGTTTGAAGACATGCAACCTTGGCAGGTAATGTTCCCATAACAGGATGATATAACAGAATAATAGAGATGGAAGGGACCTTGGAGGTCTTCTAGTCCCATCCCCTGCTCAGGCAAGAAACCCTATAGAATTTCAGACAAATTGTTGTCCAATCTCTTATGTTTTCCATGATCCTGCTACCAGAAAATAAATAGCATATCAATGTATCCAATCATCAACATAATATATATTGACAATTAGAATTAATAGTTCCATTCTTGGGTACTTATGTCCATTATTGCTTTCATGGGAAGTCAAATGTTTGCCTAGTTAGAGAAAAATGTTTTGATCATTAATTTATAGGTTATTTTTTTTTTATTAACAACTACATTTGGGACCGTCAGCTTGGGTGTTAAGCAAAGCAATCAGCATGATCTTACTTCAACTTCCCTTTGCCGTACAGACTTGTGAAGGTTGTAAGTATGAGGACTAATAGCAACTTTTAGCATTATTGTAACTAAATATTTGGTAAATGAGGCAGTCGCTAAATGAAGACTATAATCTGTAATCACTGTCAACTGTCATAAATAAATATTTATTGTCCAGCAGCAATATGTTAATGAATGGTTAAAACGGAATGTAAGAGAATAGAAAATACTGAAATAATATTTTAAAATCTTATAGAATTAGGAATGGAAAAGCAGCACAAGAAAACGGACTGAGTAAATGAATTTATTTATTTATTTATTTTATTTATTTTATTAGATTTTTATACCGCCCCCTCTCCCGAAGGACTCGGGGCGGTGAACAGCCAAAATTAAAAACATACAATATAAACAATTTAAAATACGTTTAAAACAGAATTAAATCTAAAATGGCTCCCCAATTTAAAACGCCTTACCCATACCCCTATAAATAAGACGAATTTAAAATTTAAAAATTTAAAATTTCCACATTTAAAAAGGGGGAAGATTTAGGCCAGGCCAGCTTGATAAAATAGAAAAGTCTTAAGCGCGCGGCGGAAGGTGCGCAGAGCCGGGATCCTACGTATCTCCGGGGGGAGCTCGTTCCAAATCGTAGGTGCCCCCACAGAGAAGGCTCTCCCCCTAGGGGCCGACAGCCGACATTGTTTGGCCGACGGCACCCGGAGGAGCCCCTCTCTATGGGAGCGTACTGGCCGGTGGGAGGCTATTGGTGGTAGCAGGCGGTCCCGTAAATAACCAGGTCCTAAGCCATGGAGTGCTTTAAAGGTGATAACCAGAACCTTGAAGCGCACTCGGAAGACCACCGGGAGCCAGTGCAGCTCGCGCAGGAGGGGTGTCACATGGGAACTCCATGTCGCTCCCATCACCACCCGCGCGGCCGCACTCTGCGCCAGTTGGAGCCTCCGAGTGCACCTCAAGGGGAGCCCCATGTAGAGAGCGTTGCAGTAGTCCAGACGAGAAGTAACGAGGGCATGAGTGACTGTGTGTAGGGAGTCCCGATCTAGATAGGGACGCAACTGGCGAATCAGGCGAACCTGATGAAAAATCCTCCCGGACACGGCCGTCACATGCTCTTCTAACGACAGCCGTGAATCCAGGAGGACACCCAAGTTGCGAGCCCCATCCGTGGGGGCCAATGATTCGCCCCCAATAGTCAGCGATGGCACTAGCTGATTATATCGGGACGTCGGAAACCACAGCCACTCGGTCTTGGATGGGTTGAGCCTGAGCCTGTTCCTCCCCATCCAGATCCGTACGGCCTCCAGGCACTGGGACATCACTTCAAGGGCATCGTTGGGGCGGTCCGGGGTGGAGATGTACAGCTGGGTGTCATCCGCGTACTGATGGTACTTCACCCCAAAACCACGGATGATCTCGCCCAGCGGCTTTACATAAATGTTGAACAAAAGGGGCGAGAGGACCGATCCCTGTGGCACCCCACATATGAGGGGCCTCGGGGTCGACCTCTGCCCCCCTGTCAACACAGACTGCGACCGGTCGGAGAGAAAGGAGGAGAACCACCTTAGTACGGTGCCTCCCACCCCCAACTCTTCCAACCGGTGCAGCATGATACCATGGTCGATGGTATCAAAAGCCGCTGAGAGGTCTAACAGGACCAGGACAGAGGAGCAGCCCCTGTCCCAAGCCCTCCAGAGATCATCAACCAACGCGACCAATGCCGTTTCCATGCTGTATCCAGGCCTGAAACCCGACTGGAACGGATCCAGATACGATGCTTCATCCAGGTACTAGGGAAGCTGTCCCGCAACCACACTCTCAACAACCTTCGCCACAAAACGAAGGTTGGAGACTGGACGATAATTAGCCAATATTGCCGGGTCCAGGGAAGGCTTCTTGAGGAGGGGCCTCACCACCGCCTCCTTAAGGGCGGCGGGGAAGACACCCTCACCCAATGAAGCATTTATAATCCCCTGGAGCCAGCCTCGCGTCACCTCCCGGGAAGCCAGCACTAACCAGGAGGGACACGGGTCCAACAAACATGTGGTCGCGTTCAATCTACCCAGAATCCTGTCCACGTCATCTGGGGTCACAGGATCAAACTCACCCCAGATAACAGTCTCAAGACCTGCCGCCGTCACTCTCGCTGGATCTACCCAGTCAGAGTCCAGACCTTCCCGAATCTGAGTGATTTTGTCATACAGATACTGAACAAAGTCCTCGGCTCTTCCCTCCAAGGGGTCCTCCCGCGCTTCCTGGTGGAGCAGGGAGCGGGTCACCCTAAACAGGGCGGCCGGGCGATTATCTGATGACGCAATAAGAGCAGCAAAATGCGTACATTTTGCTGCTTTTATTGCCACTAGGTAAGTCCTAATATGGGATCTAACCAGTGTCCGGTCCGATTCAGAAAGACTAGCTCTCCAACTACTCTCTAGGCGTCTTTTCTGGCGCTTCATCTCCCTCAGCTCCTCGGTAAACCAAGGAGCCAGGCGAGATCTGCGCCGGGTCAGAGGCCGCAAAGGCACGACTCGATCCAGGGCCCCAGCGGCCGCCCTATCCCAGGCGGCCACTAGGTCTCCAGTCGAGGCGTGAGCCAGAACCTCAGGAATTGGCCCAAGCTCCGTCTGGAACCTATCGGGTTCCATCAGGCGCCTGGGGCGGTACCATCTTATCGGTTCCGCCTCCCTGTAGCAGGGTGCCGCGGTACGAAGGTCAAGGCGAAGGAGAGAGTGATCTGACCATGACAAGGGCTCGATGACTACATCCCCTATCTCAAGATCACTCAACCACTGTCCAGAGACAAAAAGCAAGTCCAGTGTGTTTCCCCCAGTGTGCGTAGGGCCATGAATTAGTTGGGTCAGATCCATGGCCGTCATGGAAGCCATGAACTCCCGAGCCACCTCAGACGTCTCACCCACGGACGGCAGGTTGAAATCCCCCATGACCATAAGTCTGGGGGTATCAACCGCCACCGCAGCAATAACGTTGAGTAGCTCAGGCAGGGTTGCTGCCATGCGGCAGGGAGCCAGGTACGTGATCAGCAAGCCCATCTGAACCCCATGGCCCCACTTCACAAGGAGGGACTCACAACCAGCTGTCTGAGGTGCAGTGGTCTCCCTGGGCCTAAGTCCTTCTCTAATAATAACCGCTACTCCCCCGCCCCTCCCTTGTGACCTCGGTTGATGGAATGCACGGAAGCCTGGTGGGCACATTTCTACCAGAGGGACCCCTCCCTCCGGGCCCAACCAGGTCTCCGTAATACCCGCCAGGTCCGCTCCCCCCTCCTGAACAAGATCACAGATGAGGGGGGCTTTATTTACTACGGACCTGGCGTTGCACAACATCAGACGAAGGCCCGGGCCCTGAGGATCTGTGCAACCTGGCAAACGGGTGGAGCCTTGGGGGCTGGAGCACCCTACCGCTTGGAGACAGCGGGTGCGTGCTCCCTTAACATGATATGGCCCCCTGCTCCCGCCATATCTACCCCTCCCACTCACAGTACTGATGGTAAAAACACAGTCCGAACAAGCTCGACCCCCTCCATTGCCCCCGGGTCCCCCACCCGCCCCGCCGCGCATCGTGGCCGGGCCCAACCCTCCCCTTGGTGGGTTATCCCCCAAACCCACGCCCCTAATTCCAATACCACCCCCCTCCCCAAACCCCTTAAAAGATTAGACATAGACAATTTTAAAAAACCCCGCAACCCCCTCTTTGCGACATGCCACCTCTCGGGGTTCCAAAGCCTGTCATCGAGGTAGGCCCTCGATAGAGTGGAGGGCCAAGCCTGCGAGAGGGGGGAGTCTCGCAGACCAAGAAGCTCCGCTGCTGAGTACAGTTTGGTTATAGTGGCTCGCCATGACCATATCCTAAGGGTCCTTAAAAGGACAGGGAAGAAGGTAGGGAAGTGGGGAATCTCCCACATAACTCACAGGACCAAGTCCACTGTCCCCTCACAACAGAGGACACAGTCACAATCCACAACGACCACAATCCAAGGGGGAAAACGATCCAACCACCCTCTCACGGTGATTAGGTCAGCTGGTCCACCCCCATTTGTGGTGAAGTGGCAGCAATAGAGTCAGTACATCCAGTGTCCAGGGATCAGGTCCAAAGAACCGCCCTCTCACGGCGGTTGGTCCGATGGTCGGGTCCCCACCGCTGGTAAAGTGCTTATGTGTGAATACATCCCGATTCAGCCCTCAGGAGGCCCCAACACCAGGCCACCCTCTCACGGTGGCCAGCTGGTGTCCAGCCCCCTTAGCCGAAGGGATGCAGCCATGAACCGACCTCCAATTTTCCATAGCCCTCTCCACAGTCAGGGGGTTCAGCTGGTAGTGAGAACATAGTGGAAGTGAGTCCCACAGGCTAAAGTTGGTCCCAGTGGGCCCGGTCTTAAAAGGGAGCGCTGGGGAGAGACAAATGAGGCGGAAGTGGGGCAGTTGTTTCAAGTCCCCAACCCCCGCACAACCACAGTTTGAGGCCGCCTAAGGCCTGGGGAAAAAAAGGCAGACCAGGTCCTTTTCGCCCCAGCCATGGTTGCAGGTCTCCCGGTCTTATTTAATTCTCGTTGGTTCGTTGCCCCCCCAACTCCTAATTAATTAGGAATTAATAATATAAGGGAGGAATAAGCTGTTCAGAGTCACATAGTGGTGAGATGGGTGGCAAACAAATTTAATAATAAATAAATACTCCTGGATTTTGGTCTAGAGAGAATGGAAATGTCCAATTTGTCCATTCATCTGCCAAGTAAGCAAAAACAAAATAATTGCTGATAAAATTCATTTTCTCTGATTTTGTTCATGCAATATCATAGTATTTTTTTTGTTCTGTTTTTAAATCAGTCAAATAAATAAATAAATAAAGCAAAATTGGATGGAAATTCTTTCATTTTCCTCCCTCATTCCTCTGTCCTTTCCTAGCTGCCAACATTTTCTCCTCAAAGCCTTAAATGCACAAATAATGTTTTAAAAAATGGCTATGTCTTTCAACTTTATTATACGAAACCAAAAATAGATTGGACAACAAGATAGATGGATGATGAATAGATGAGGAATAGATAATGGATAGATAGATGATAAATTCCAAGACTTATGGTCATGGGGGATTTCAACCTGCCGTCCGTGGGCGAGACGTCTGAGGTGGCTCAGGAGTTCATGGCTTCCATGACGGCCATGGATCTGACCCAATTAATTCATGGCCCTACGCACACTGGGGGAAACACACTGGACTTGCTTTTTGTCTCTGGACAGTGGTTGAGTGATCTTGAGATAGGGGATATAGTCATCGAGCCCTTGTCATGGTCGGATCACTCTCTCCTTCGCCTTGACCTTCGTACCGCGGCACACCACTGCAGGGAGGCGGAACCGATAAGATGGTACCGCCCCAGGCGCCTGATGGAACCTGATAGGTTCCAGACGGAGCTTGGGCCAATTCCTGAGGTTCTGGCTCACGCCTCGACTGGAGACCTAGTGGCCGCCTGGGATAGGGCGGCCGCTGGGGCCCTGGATCGAGTCGTGCCTTTGCGGCCTCTGACCCGGCGCGGATCTCGCCTTGCTCCTTGGTTTACCGAGGAGCTGAGGGAGATGAAGCGCCGGAAAAGACGCCTAGAGAGTAGTTGGAGAGCTAGTCTTTCTGAATCGGACCGGACACTGGTTAGATCCCATATTAGGACTTACCTAGTGGCGATAAAAGCAGCAAAATGTACGCATTTTGCTGCTCTTATTGCGTCATCAGATAATCGCCCGGCCGCCCTGTTTAGGGTGACCCGCTCCCTGCTCCACCAGGAAGCGCGGGAGGACCCCTTGGAGGGAAGAGCCGAGGACTTTGTTCAGTATCTGTATGACAAAATCACTCAGATTCGGGAAGGTCTGGACTCTGACTGGGTAGATCCAGCGAGAGTGACGGAGGCAGGTCTTGAGACTGTTATCTGGGATGAGTTTGATCCTGTGACCCCAGATGACGTGGACAGGATTCTGGGTAGATTGAACGCGACCACATGTTTGTTGGACCCGTGTCCCTCCTGGTTAGTGCTGGCTTCCCGGGAGGTGACGCGAGGCTGGCTCCAGGGGATTATAAATGCTTCATTGGGTGAGGGTGTCTTCCCCGCCGCTCTTAAGGAGGCGGTGGTGAGGCCCCTCCTCAAGAAGCCTTCCCTGGACCCGGCAATATTGGCTAATTATCGTCCAGTCTCCAACCTTCGTTTTGTGGCGAAGGTTGTTGAGAGTGTGGTTGCGGGACAGCTTCCCCAGTACCTGGATGAAGCGTCGTATCTGGATCCGTTCCAGTCGGGTTTCAGGCCTGGATACAGCACGGAAACGGCATTGGTCGCGTTGGTTGATGATCTCTGGAGGGCTCGGGACAGGGGTTGTTCCTCTGTCCTGGTCCTGTTAGATCTCTCAGCGGCTTTTGATACCATCGACCATGGTATCATGCTGCACCGGTTGGAAGAGTTGGGGGTGGGAGGCACCGTACTAAGGTGGTTCTCCTCCTTTCTCTCCGACCGGTCGCAGTCTGTGTTGACAGGGGGGCAGAGGTCGACCCCGAGGCCCCTCATATGTGGGGTGCCGCAGGGATCGGTCCTCTCGCCCCTTTTGTTCAACATTTATGTAAAGCCGCTGGGCGAGATCATCCGTGGTTTTGGGGTGGAGTACCATCAGTACGCTGACGACACCCAGCTGTACATCTCCACCCCGGATCACCCCAACGATGCCCTTGAAGTGATGTCCCAGTGCCTGGAGGCCGTACGGATCTGGATGGGGAGGAACAGGCTCAGGCTCAACCCATCCAAGACCGAGTGGCTGTGGTTTCCGACGTCCCGATATAGTCAGCTAATGCCATCGCTGACTATTGGGGGCGAATCATTGGCCCCCACGGATAGGGCTCGCAACTTGGGCATCCTCCTGGATTCACGGCTGTCGTTAGAAGAGCATGTGACGGCCATGTCCGGGAGGATTTTTCATCAGGTTCGCCTGATCCGCCAGTTGCGTCCCTATCTAGATCGGGACTCCCTACACACAGTCACTCATGCCCTCGTTACTTCTCGTCTGGATTACTGCAATGCTCTCTACATGGGGCTCCCCTTGAGGTGCACTCGGAGGCTCCAACTGGCGCAGAGTGCGGCCGCGCGCGGGTGGTGATGGGAGCGACATGGAGTTCCCATGTGACACCTCTCCTGCGCGAGCTGCACTGGCTCCCGGTGGTCTTCCGAGTGCGCTTCAAGGTTCTGGTTATCACCTTTAAAGCGCTCCATGGCTTAGGACCTGGTTATTTACGGGACCGCCTGCTACCACCAATAGCCTCCCACCGGCCAGTACGCTCCCATAGAGAGGGGCTCCTCCGGGTGCCGTCGGCCAAACAATGTCGGCTGTCGGCCCCTAGGGGGAGAGCCTTCTCTGTGGGGGTACCTACGATTTGGAACGAGCTCCCCCCGGAGATACGTAGGATCCCGGATCTGCGCACCTTCCGCCGCGCAGTTAAGACTTTTCTATTTTATCAAGCTGGCCTGGCCTAAATCTTCCCCCTTTTTAAATGTGGAAATTTTAAATTTTTAAATTTTAAATTCGTCTTTTTATAGGGGTATGGGTAAGGCATTTTAAATTGGGGAGCCATCTTAGATTTAATTCTGTTTTAAACGTATTTTAATTGTTTATATTGTATGTTTTTAACTTTGGCTGTGCACCGCCCCGAGTCCTTCGGGAGAGGGGGCGGTATAAAAATCTAATAAATAAATAAAATAAATAAATAAATGATAGATAGATAGATAGATAGATAGATAGATAGATAGATAGATAGATAGAAAGATAGATAGATAGATAGAAAGATAGATGAGATTCCTCCTAACTTCAGTGAAATCCCTGAAAGTCTTGAGATGAAAGTCCTGAGAAAGAGTACATCCCTTCATAGCTATGGGTCATAGCAGCCCATGTCAGCAGAAAACAATAATCTACTAACAACATTTCTCTAAAATAATGGAATACAATTTTCAAAATCTTATCAACTGGACGCCTTTCACTTTTATAACCCATTTGTTATTCTGCTACTGGAAATCAGGAATTGGGAAGAGACTCATAGCTTAACTCACAAGACAGGATTGTCTATGTGGACAGAAGGGATTCATTCTAAAGATCTAAAGAAAATATTGAATCCATTTAAATTTCCGAGTGTGGGCTATAACTTACATTTCCTGCCTGCTAGGCTCACACCTCATCTACTGTCCTTCCTTCCTTCCTTCCTTCCTTCCTTCCTTCCTTCCTTCCTTCCTTCCTTCCTTCCTTCCTTCCTTCCTTCCTTCCCGAGATCTTCCTAACTGATGCAGAAAATAATCTCCTAGGTTAATTTATATGGAATTTAATTGCTTCCAACAAGTCACAGGTTGAGATTATACTATTGATTTTATTATCCCTCTACTCTTTTCCCTTCCTCCCAGTTACATGCATTTCTTCAAGCGATGTCATTTAACAATTCAGCTGGAGAGAACCTGAATTTCAATGAAAGAAGAGAAATTGTTGCTGGATTTGATATAATGCACATGATCTTATTCCCAAACAACTCCTTTCGTAAAGTCAAAATTGGACGGTTAGAACCAGTGGCTTTTGAAGAAGAACAATTCTTTATAGATGATGAAATTATTGAGTGGCCTAGGATCTTTAACCAGGTATGCATTCTTGGATTTCCTTGACAGATTTTCCTTCAAATAGAATAGAATAGAATAGAATGGAATGGAATGGAATGGAATGGAATAGAATAGAATAGAATAGAATAGAATAGAATAGAATAGAATAGAATAGAATAGAATAGAATAGAATAGAATAGAATAGAATAGAATAGAATAGTTCTTTATTGTCCAAGTGTGATTGAACACACAAAGAATTTGTCTTTGGTGCATATGCTCTCCGTGTATCATCTCCTTCCTCCATTTCCTTCAGTAAGATAAGCCATCTGTGGTTACACATTTCCACTAATGTAACAATTGTCCATGCCAAAAGATGTTGCAGTGAGGTCTAGGACAACTCACTATGGCTGACTCGCTGCAGTCAACTTGCCCTGGCTGTCTACCCTGGTCAACTAGCCAAAGACAACTCATTGCAGGCCAATTCACCATGGAAAAACTTGCTATGGCCATCTTGCCACAGGACAATTCAATATGGGATAATTCAAGAGAGGGACAAGTGAATTGCAGCTGATCTTCTCTTGCTTTAGGTTTGAACCTTCTCAAGTTAGAAGTCCTCAAGTCTGGGTTGAGCTGCAAGTCTACTTGTCCCTCTCTTCAGTTATCCCATGTTGAATTTTCCTAAGGTCAAATTGTCCCATGGTAAAATGACCAGGACAAGTTCACCCACGGTGAGTTGGTCAAAGTGAGTTGTCCCATTCTGGTTGCAGTGCTAGTATACATTCAGTATTGTTGCTGCTTTATTAAGTATTACTATTGTTACTACAGAGGTGGTATTCAGCAGGTTCTGACCAGTTCTTGAGAACCGATAGCGGAAATTTTCAGTAGTTCGGAGAAGTGGTAAATACCACCTCTGACCGCATATTCATGCATGTTGGTCATTTATCTGTTTTCCGATTTTCAGGATCCCCCCAAAATAGCTAAATGTTCTTAGCTTCCTTACAACCTGGACTTTTTTATTTTATTGTTGTGAACAGGTATGTCCTATTTCTGTGTGCAGTGACTCATGCCCACCAGGGTTTCAGAAACAAAAGAAGGAAGGAAAGAAATTTTGTTGCTATGACTGTTTTCCATGTCCAGAAGGAAAGATCTCCAACAAAACAGGTAGGTGATATAGCACCCTCAATTCTTCACTTATCCTTAGGATTATGTAAAGTGGTGCCAATCCATATCTGAGGATTGCCTTAATTCAGATTAAGGAAGCAACCCAAATTGAGCTGGTGTCAAGAGTTTAGAGATAGGCAAGATTAAGAAACATAAGCTCTTGAGCCTTCCTGTTGTCGTTAAAGTATGATAGCCCAGTCTTGAAAGTATACCAGATTTATTGTATGTATGTATGTATGTATGTATGTATGTATGTATGTATGTATTTATTTATTTATTTATTTATTTATTTATTTATTTATTTATTTATTTATTTATTCAATTTATATCCCGCCCTTCTCCAAGTGGACTCAGGGCGGTGCACAGCCAGAACTAAAACACATATCAATACAAAATTTAAAATTATTAAAAGAATTAAATAACTGTGGCCCAAAAATTTAAAACATTGAAAACTAAAACCTATTTGACAATTTAAAAAGCTAAAAAGACTAAAAAAAAGGGGGGGGGGTTCACGCCAGCCCTGCTTGATGGAAAAGAAAAGTTTTTAGGGCACGGCAAAAAACCCGGAGATCCGATATCCTTTGTATCTCTGGGGGCAAATCGTTCCAGAGGGCAGGAGCTGCCACAGAGAAGGCCCTCTCCCTGGGGGTCGCCAGCCAACATTGCCTGGCTGACGGCACCCTGAGGAGTCCCTCTCTGTGGGAGCGTACTGGTCGGTGGGAGGCTATTGGCGGCAGAAGGCGGTCCCACAAGTACCCAGGTCCCATGCCATGGAGCGCTTTAAAGGTGGTGACCAACACCTTGAAGCGCACCTGGAAGACCACTGGAAGCCAATGCAGCTCACGCAGGAGAGGTGTCACATAGAAGCACCCCCTCGCTCCCATAATCCTCCGCGCGGCCAGATTCTGCACCAGTTGGAGCCTCCAGGTGCTCCCCAAGGGGAGCCCCATGTAGAGAGCATTGCAGTAGTCCAGGCGGGATATTCTACCCAGAACTACTTAAGTTTTATTTATTTATTTATTTATTTATTTATTTATTTATTTATTTATTTATTTATTGGTTCAATTTATATGTCGCCCTTCTCCGGAGACTCTGGGCGGCTTACAATGCATTAAGCAATAGCCTTAATACTTTTGTATATACCTGCTTAGTAGGGCTTTCGGCCCCTCCTAAGCGGTGTTCTTTTTTATACAAAGTCAGTTTATTGCCCCCACAATCCGGGTTCTCATAATACCATCAACTGCTTTTTTTGTAGCACTTATTGGGATTCTAGTATCACTTTGAGAGCCAGTCTGGTATTCCATCATAGGTAGTGGCTTGTATTTGAAAACAAAGACATGCAACTTTGATGGCTCCTCTGTGTTGTTCAAGTGAGCTGTCTTGATTTGGCTTCCAATCCTGTCAAGCTCTAATAGATATGCTTATTTTTCTTAATTTTTTTCTTGTAATTTTCTTTTAAGACATGGACGAATGTATGCAGTGCCGAGATGATCAATATCGAAGCCTGAGCAACGACAGCTGCTTCCCCAAGATCATAACATTTCTTTCCTATGAAGAACCACTAGGCATGAGTTTAGTCTCAATAGTCCTTTGTTTTTCACTGGTCACAGTCTTCGTGTTTATTACTTTTATTAAGCACAGTGATACTGCCATAGTCAAAGCCAATAACCGAGAACTCACTTACACTCTCCTTTCCTCCCTCCTCCTCTGCTTCCTCTGTTCTTTCTTCTTCCTTGGCCACCCCCATAAATTCACTTGCCTCATTCGCCATGTTGCTTTTGGTCTCATCTTTACTGTGGCGGTATCTTGTGTGTTGGCCAAAACCATCACTGTGGTTCTTGCTTTCATGGCCACCAAACCAGGATCCAATGTGAGGAGGTGGATGGGAAAAAGGCTGGCCAACACCATTGTCCTTTTCTGTTCTCTCATTCAAGCTGGCATTTGTACTGTATGGCTTGCCACTGCTCCTCCATATCCCAAGTTGGACATGAAATCCCTGCCGAGCGAGATAGTAGCAGAATGCAATGAAGGCTCTACCTTCATGTTTTACTTTGTCTTGGGCTACATGGGACTTCTGTCCATCATCAGCTTCATCGTGGCTTTCCTGGCTAGAAATCTGCCAGATGCTTTCAATGAAGCAAAGTTCATCACTTTCAGCATGATCATGTTTTGCAGTGTTTGGTTGACTTTTATCCCAACTTATTTGAGCACCAAAGGTAAATACATGGTAGCTGTGGAGATCTTCTCCATTTTGGCCTCAGGGGCTGCGTTGCTGGCTTGTATCTTTTCTCCAAAAGTTTATATTATCCTGCTGAGACCTGAGCTGAACAATAAGGAGGGATTGATAAGGACAAAGAATAAACCCATGTAATTGTATCCCATTACATAATGTGATTGACATCAAACAACTCAGTTTCACAACAAGTACCGTATTTTTCAGAGTATAAGACACACTTCCCCCCCACCCTAAAAGAGTTTGAAAATTTGGGTGCATCTTATACATCCATGAAGCCAAAAATGTGAGGCACAGAGGTGGTGATGGTCTATGGCAATCCCTACAGCCAGGAACTGCTGATTTTGGGGTATTCCAGGAGGCCGATCCACCCACCAATCAGCTGCTCATGCTGAATCAGGCTGCAATAATGTGCTGAAGCTAACCTGGCTGTTTGCTATTTCCTGCAAGGACATGTCAGAGTTTGCAGCAGCAATCACATCCAGAAAGCACACACAAGTAACTGATTCATCAGGATTCAATAACTTCTCTTTATATATAATATAACACATGAAGTAAATATACAATACCAGAAGCAGGTTTTCCAACGTGGTAGTAAATACAAGCAAAACACAAGCAGAGGAGAGGAGTTTCAGTTTTAGTTTCAGAGCTCAGCACATCAGGCAGCTTTAATACAGAACAGCTGAGCTAAGCCAAGACCAGGCTCCTTGCTATCTCCTTGTTGTTCACACAGCAAATACTCTTTCAATTTCCAAACAGCCCTCAATTCTCTCACACACTGACAGGACACTAGCCAGATGAATACTGATGGATGATGGTACGCAGAGGCAGAATTTTTTTTTCTTATTTTCCTCCCCAAAAACTAAGGTGCATCTTATATTCCAGAGTGTCTTATACTCAGAAAAATATTTTATATCTGCTAATCTTTTGTTAGTTGACGTCACCCAACAAATATATGAAAAAATAAACATAATAAAGTACTTTTGTTTCATTGTAAGTTTCAACAAAAAAACACTTTCTAATGCAAGATTCTTCATAAAATTATTCATTGGTAAATCCTACTGAACCCATAGCCTGGGATAACACAAAGAATTAAACTGTTGGATAGGAACTCCAAATTGCATTTTCTTTACACTTGAACTAACCAGTGGGATGTTTATTTGAACCCTTATTTATTTGTACTGGTGAAAAGCAAATTTGGATAGAAATTATACTCACATGTAAACAAATTCATTTGTTGAAAAGATGGATGATTTTAATGATGTATTGCTACTTATTAGAATTAAAGTATTTGATCTTTTGACCTTTACAAGGATGTCATAATGTAGTCTCTGATGGAATATTTTAGGAAATATTTTTTTCATTGTTAACATTGCTGTTAAATATCTCACAACTCATAAATATCAAAATTAACTTTCAATATTTAACATGAATGTTTTGGAACGGCGTAGTGGAAACTAGAATTCGAACTATGTAAAAATGACAAACTGGTCTTGGCTAAATGTATCAGCTTCTATTAAAATTTGAAACAGAAGAAGAACAAGTGAAAAACTCCATGATAAAATGGACTCAAATCTTTGGACAAAACATACAGAGGAAAAAATGGGAAAATATATCATTTTATGGGGATTTTACATTTTATGGGGATAAAAAGTTCATTATATTGCAGCTCAAAGCAGAATGTTTATAGGATGATGTACCATAACTCCAGAAAAATATCTGAATGTAAAATATATATATAACCTTTATGTTTGAAACTGTTGTGGCCTGCAAGCCACCAGCAGAGCTGGCAGTGGAGGAGACAGTGAGGAGATCGGGGAGGAACTTGGGGCAGTCCTAGCGGCTGGGGAAAGCTGAGATGAGGGCTCTGCATCAGAGGCAGAGAGGGGGCCAAGGCCATCTGATAGTTATGTACAGCCTCTGGATTCTGACAGCAGCGAGGCAGAAGAACAGCGGGAGCCTGTTCCCAGTATGCACATGCACAGACCTGCCAGATGACAAAAACAATTAAGAAAACAGGGTCGACTTCGGAGTAAGGCTTGGAGATGATTGGCTCCTCCCATAAGACATAAAAGAAGAGCGAATGGGATGTGAGCTTTTGCAGGAAGCAATTAGTTCATATGGTCAATTCAAGCTTTGAAATGTTCTGTTTGACTCTGTGCCAAGTTTGGCCTTGCCCTGCATTTGGCGATTAGTTCTCTGGCATCATTTCACGTGAGATAGGTGGGTGTTGATAACCTTCCTATGAAAGACTGTTTATAAAGTCTTCCAGACTGTAAATGAAAATAATTTACAGTCATATAAGTAAAAGAGGTTTTGTAGGACTAAGATTGTGCTTTATACTTTCTAAGGAAGCCTTCTAGGTCAGAACAGAAAGAACGGCTTGACTCTAGAAGTTGTGGGGGTTCTAACACTGGAGGATTTTAAGAAGAAGCGGGACAGCTATTTGTCTGAAGTGGTATAGGATCTCCTGCTTGAGCAGGGAGTTGGTCTAGAATAGAGCTTTGTGGACCAGCATGGAGGAGGGGATGGTTTGTGCAAACAACTGGTAAGCGGAAACACAATGCACAGCTCCATTTCCATGAATGGAACACATGCACACACACTCGCCCACTGCACACACAAGTGAGGATGCACATGCTTGTGCTCTCCAGTCATGTCGATGTCCCAGTTGCAATCCCCTTACAGCCCACTAGTGGGCCACAGCCTACAGGTTGGGGATCCTAAACTAGAAGACCCTTCCAGAGGCCCTCCAGAGGCTGAAAACACCCTCCCGGAGCCTCCGTGTGAGCCCTGTACTTACCTGGCATCCAAAATGGGCTGCATGGAGACTCCTGGGAGGGGAGGGGCAGCGTGGGCAGGGCCATCCAAAAATCAGCTAGCCGGCATGTTGGAGCTAAGTTAGGGCAATGGCTCACATGCCCACAGATATGGCTCCCTGTGCCACCTGTGGCACATATGCGATAGGTATACCATCATGGATCTAGTCTAATGAAAAGAAGGTCTATGGGAGACATGACAGCAGTGTCCCAATATTTGAGGAGCCTCCACAGAGAAGAGGGAGTCAACCTGTTCTCCAAAACACCTGAAGACAGGACAAGAAGCAATGGGTGGAAACTAATCAAGGAGAGAACCAAGCTAGAACTAAAGAAAAATGTCCTGGTAATTAGATTAATTAGAATTAATCAGTGGAATGACTTGCCATTCCATTGTTCTGCAAATACAACTCTGTTATTCTGAATTAGATCAACCTAACTTTGTATTATTTAGATAAATATTTCTATTTTACTTGAAGAGAGTAAGAGAGTGGGATGACAATCCAATAATATGGGGATATATATATATATATATATATATATATATATATATGTCTTTGGTTATTCGGGTCTTCTCCCACGTAAAATTGGAAGTGTCTTGGCGATGTTTCGACGAAGTCTCATTCGTCATCTTCAGGCTGGTGTTCTCGGCTTCGTGCTTCCAGGAGCAATGGAAGCCGAGAATACCAGCCTGAAGATGACGAATGAGACTTCGTCGAAACGTCGCCAAGACACTTCCAATTTTACGTGGGAGAAGACCCGAATAACCAAAGACCTACATACAAACACCCGCGAAAACTGAGAAAATAAATAAATATATATATATATATATATTGCATATATATATATATATATATATATATATATATATATATATATATGCAAAGATCTTGGGAGATTAATAAATACATTAATACTGTCTTGAACCATTTTAATCTATTTTGAAGACATGTTCAGAAACACATCTTAGTATTATTCCAGTTTGAAGACTATCAAAGTTTAAACTCAGTTCTCTTATTAGATATACCACTAGAATCTAGTGACTAGATGAACATATTTCAACTCAATGTGGGACATAAGGATCAGCAGAATATTGATTTATCATTTTCCCTTCAGGTTCAGAGTTGATCCCAACTCATGGGCTATGCTATTCTGTTCATATTTAATCAATGTGATCACCTTGAAACCCATCTCCCACTGGCTGTCCACTGGCTGTCAGAGAGACCATCAAGGACACACACAGAGAGACAAAAAGAACCTTTACTTCCAAATGTGTTGTTGGTAATACACAGCAGAGTTGTTTCTCCTATAATTATTCCATAATTATAATTAATTTCATCATCAGACCTCCAACGATTAATCCACAAGATACCAAATGAGAAATCAATATGTGATATGCAGTTGAGAAAGAGTTTATAGTGTATGAATATTCTTCAACTGGTTTTATGGAAAGGAGGCTCTGTCCATGGGTGAACCTATCCAGTTCTCCACAGTTTTGGACAGAAATGGCTTCAGATCTTTAAATTGCTTGGTAGCTTTTTTAAAACTATTTCTTTGTTGCGTTTGTTGTGCTATGTCATATTGAGATACCAGGTGACCGAAACTGGAATCAGATGCAGGAGACTCTTTTCTGCAGGAACACGCTTCTGCAAGGATGGTGAGACTCCTGGCACTGATCCTTTGGCTATCACTTGAAGAGTGCAAAAGAGTGACCACAAAGTGCCCTCGAACCCAATTCTTCACTGTTCCTCATGACTGGTATCAGCCAGGAACCCTTCTCATTGGTGGGATGGCATCTCAAGTCATTTATGTCTTTAATGAAGTTTCCTTCAAAATTATCCCTTCACAAGATATTGGCTTTGATCTTCCAGTGTAAGAAACTCAACCCCACTCCCTTCCCAAAACAAGTACTACTCAACTCCTATAAATAGTCATGTGTAATAAATAAAAATGTAAAACCAAGTTATCCCCCCTACCTTGTTACAGGATATATTCAGGTGATCTTATTTCTGTCAAATGTCATTTTCCAGACTGCTTACAGTCACTTTACTTCTTTGATATAAGCTGTAGTTTCTTATTATGACTCCTTTTCCTTCTTAATAAACATTAACTCAGTGTTATCTTCATCTTGCTGCATATGCAGCATTTGTGTTGAATTGCAAAGAAAGTGATGAGTTTTGTTAACTTGGAGAAAGCAATGTTCCATGGCTACAAAGAGTGTATGAAACTTGGGAATATGGATGAAGAAGATGTTAAGATTGACACAGAATAGAATAGAATTCTTCATTGGCCAAAGGGGATTGGACACACTAGCTCTCAGAGTACAAACAATATACAAATGTTGAGGATTAGATTGATTAGCAGGCAGTTAATTAGTTAAGATTGATTAGCAAGCAGACTATTACATCATTTTTTCTAGGAAGAAATTAACAACAATTTAGTTATGGATAAAGAGAGAAAGGGAGAGAGGGAGAACATTAAAAATTGGGAAGAAGATTGTTTTTTTAAGAACTGTTTCCTAGTAGCCTAATTAAAAATGGTGCATGATTCAGTTTTTGGAGAGTCATTTATTGGAGGACTGGAAATTCAATTGCTTTGTGTGTTCAGGAAAGACTTTGAATATCACATGTGCTGTGGTTGGAGACATTTCACTGATTTCTACTCAGCTGCACTTCATAATGCACATATTGAAAGCTTGCTCTCAATTTATGTTTTAATGTCTTCTTTTAACTTTTGTATGGGATATTGTTGCATTGTTTTATTCTCTGTTGTAAGCTGCCCAGAGTCCCTTGGGAGTTGGGCGGCATAGAAATGCGACAAAATAAATAAATAAAATAAAATAAAATACATTTATCTACTTCTCTCTTTTCCATCCATTATTATGGAAGCTAATCAAGGAGAGAAGCAACCTAGAACTAAGGAGAAATTTGATCACAGTGAGAACAATTAATCAGTTGTCAACTGAACAATTAGCTTGCCTCCAGAAGTGGTAAATGCTCCAACACTGGAGGTTTTCAAGAAGAGATTGGGCAACCATTTGTCTGAAATGGTATAGGATTTCCTCCCTGAGAATGGAGTTGAACTTGAAGACCTCCAAGGTCCCTTCCAACTTTTTTATTCTGTTTTCTGAACCTTGTTTCATCTTCATAATTCTGGTCACATTGCATTATCCCAAGAGTTGTGCTGGTCAAGATGTTCAGATTCATAGGTAAAAAGCCTTGCAACTCTATTTGCAGGATGCTGACCAAATTCTACCAGAATGTGTTGGCTTTGGCATTTGCTGTAAATACAATCAACAAATCTCCAACAATTTTACCAAATATCACACTGGGCTTCCACATCTACGACACCTACTATGATCAGAGGATGACCTATTACAATCTTCTCAATTTGCTCTTTAAATTGCACACTTTCCTTCCTAATTATGAATGTGGACCCCCTAAAAACCTGATTGCTGTAATTGGAGGACTTGGCTCTGATACTTCTTTTCACATGGCAGATATTTTAGGACGCTACAAGATTCCACAGGTGAGCACTATGCATAGCTGCAAGGAATAGCTTTGGCTATTTTTATTAATTTTTTTTTTTTTGAAAAACATTTTTTTATTTTTTTAAAAAATAAACATAAAAATACCTCTTTCAAGAATGAAGTCTTGACCCGGTCATGAATAGGTACAATCGCTTAAGACTCTTCAACAACTCTTTCCCGAATTTCCTCAATGACATCTTTTAACATAAAAATCAAATCACAATTTTTTTAACAAATATTCTAACATCTTAATCTAAGTATTTACCTTATTATTTTATCACCACAACTCTTAATTTCCAAATAAACACAACTCTGTTTTTATTTCTATTTATAAATCAAATTTCTATCTATCCTCCTTCATCCCCAGACCCATTTCATCAAGTCTTTAAATCTTAAACTCTATTAATTTACATCTAATTTTCGGGCTACTTTTATTAATCTTATATTCATCACACAAGTGATTTTGAAATAGAAAAGAGAAGCTAGAAAATTAAAGAAAATAAGCTTAGAGAATTTAACAAATAAGGACTCCTGGGACAATCAGTGAGGTTCCAAATCCTTCTTTCTTTCTTTTTTTAAAAATTATTTTTATTCAACATTTACATCTTTAAAATCTTAGTTACACTTTTACAGCTTTCCAATACCGGCATCTTTAGTAATATCTATTTTATCCTTCGGCCAATTATATATATATATATCCATTTTGTTTGTTACATACTTATTCATATAATCACTACATAATGTACATACCTGCTACACATTAAATATTATATTTTCATTATAATATCTTCTCTTAACAATCACTATACATTGATTTTAAATTTCTTTTCCAGCCGATTATACCAACTATTCCACGTTTCGTAATAAATCATTTCCTCTCTGTCTTTGAGTTCCATCGTTAACTTATCTGATTCTGCTCATTCTAGCACCATTTTTATAATCATCATGTTTGATGGAGCCTGCTGTTGTTTCCAAATTTGGGCAAATGAAATTCTGGCAGTGGTGGATTATGTGGAGGATGAAGTATTGAATATCTTTACTCATTTTTTCTCTTATAATCCCCAAAAAGAAATAGTTCTGGTTTCATTCAAATTGGTCATATTTCTCCATCTCTGTTAAATAAGTAAAAGGGAAAGGTTTCGTTTTAGTAAAGAGGAAAGATAGGAATTTCCTTTCTGCAGGCATGATTGAATGATTGATTGATTGAATGATTGAATAATTGATGGAATGATTGAATAATTGATTGATTGAATGATCGATTGAAGACACCATGCCTTTCTGCACTTTGTCTTTAAGATCACATATGGATCATTTGCTCCTGAAGACATTGTAAAATCTAGGGATCCTTCTTTTTATCGTATGGTCCCAAACGATGAAAACCAGTACATGGGAATTATCTATCTGCTTCTACACTTTGGCTGGACATGGGTGGGCCTTTTCACAGGAGATGATGACAGTGGGAAATATTTCTTGCAAAGCATGGAAGCGTTGTTTTCCAAGTATCAAATCTGTTCAGCCTTCATTCAGGTGTTCCCACGCCAAGGCCGTGTCTTGTCCAGTGACGATATGGGTACATTTGGAAATCTCCACGTATCTGATATGGATCAGAGGGCCACAGCATTTATCATCTATGGAGATACCATGAATCTTATGTGGTTAATTAACTATAATACTCTTCTAGTTTCTGACAACACATATTTAGGGAAGGTGTGGATCATGACAGCCCAGATGGAATTTGCAGTAACGGGCGTGACGAGACGGATGGATTTTCAAATGTTCCAAGGTGCCATATCCTTCGCCATTCATTCCAAGCAACCTCGGGAATTTCAGATGTATCTTCAGAAGAAAAACCCATACCAGCCTGAAGGTGATGGTTTTGCCCAGTTGTTCTGGGAACAGGTTTTTGAATGTTCATTTCCAAATGCTGGAGAAACATTGGAGCCAGATGAACTATGTACTGGGAAGGAGAACCTGGAGAAACCTCCTCGGTCTGTTTTTGAAGTGAAGATGAGTGGCCACAGCTACAGTGTCTACAATGCTGTCTATGCAGTAGCCCATGCTCTCCACGCATTGCACTCATCGAAGAGCAAACACAGAGCAAGAATGGGGGAGCAAAGATTCAAGTTTGAGGATATGCAATCTTGGCAGGTAGTGTCCCCTTAACAGAATGACAAAGATGGAAGGGACCTTGGAGGTCTTCTAGTCCCATCCCCTGCTCAGGCAGGGAACCCTATAGAATTTCATACACATGGTTGTAGATAGATAGATAGATAGATAGATAGATAGATAGATAGATAGATAGATAGATAGATTCCTCCTAACTTCAATGAAACCCCTGTGAGATTTATTGTCCTGAGAAACAGTACATGCCTTCTTAAGGTCATAGCAGCCCATGTCAGCAGAAAACAATCATCTGCTAACATTTCTCTAAAATAATGGAATACAATTTTCAAAATCTTTCACCTTTATAACCCATTTGTCATTCTGCTACTGGAAATCAGGAATTGGGTGGAGACTCATAATTTAGTCAAAAGAGAGGATTGTCTACGTGGACAGACGGGATTAATTCCCAAGATCTAAAGAAAACATTGAAGCCAAGTGTGGGCTATAACCTGTTACACAGCTCATCTATTGTCCTTCCTTCCTTCCTTCCTTCCTTCCTTCCTTCCTTCCTTCCTTCCTTCCTTCCTTCCTTCCCAAGATCTTCCTAACTGATGCAGAAAATAATCCCCTAGGTTAATTTATATGAAAGTTAATTGCTTCCAACATGTCACAGGGTGAGATTATACTATTGATTTTATTATCCCTCTACTCTTTTCCCTTCCTCCCAGTTACATGCATTTCTTCAAGCGATGTCATTTAACAATTCAGCTGGAGAGAACCTGAATTTCAATGAAAGAAGAGAAATTGTTGCTGGATTTGATATAATGCACATGATTTTATTCCCAAACAACTCCTTTCGTAAAGTCAAAATTGGGTGGTTAGAACCAGTGGCTTTTGAAGAAGAACAATTCTTTATAGATGATCAAATTATTGAGTGGCCTAGGACCTTTAACCAGGTATGCATTCTTGGATTTCCTTGACAGATTTTCCTTCAGATAGAATAGAATAGAATAGAATAGAATAGAATAGAATAGAATAGAATAGAATAGAATAGAATAGAATAGAATAGAATAGAATAGAATAGAATAGAATAGAATAGAATATTTTATTGGCCAAGTGTGATTGGACGCACAAAGAATTTGTCTTTGGTGCATATGCTCTCCGTGTACCATCTCCTTCCTCCATTTCCTTCAGTAAGATAAACCCTCTGTGGTTACACATTTCCACTAATATAAAAATTGTCCATGTTGAAAGAATTTGCAGTAAGGTCTAGGATAACTCACTATGGCTGACTCGCTGCAGCCAACTTGCCCTGGCTGTCTACCCTGGTCAACTAGCCAAAGACAACTCATTGCAGGCCAACTCAGCATGGAAAAACTTGCTATGGCCATCTTGCCACAGGACAATTCAATATGGGATAATTCAAGAGAGGAACAAGTGAATTGCAGCTGGTCTTCTCTAGCTTTAGGTTTGAACCTTCTCAAGTTAGAAGTCCTCAAGTCTGGGTTGAGCTGCAATTCTACTGTTGGTCATTTATCTGTTTTCCGATTTTCAAGATCCCCACAAAATAACTAAATGTTCTTAGCTTCCTTACAACCTGGACTTTTTTATTTTATTGTTGTGAACAGGTATGTCCTATTTCTGTGTGCAGTGACTCATGCCCACCAGGATTTCAGAAACAAAAGAAGGAAGGAAAGAAATTTTGTTGCTATGACTGTTTTCCATGTCCAGAAGGAAAGATCTCCAACAAAACAGGTAGGTGGTATAGCACCCTCAATTCTTCACTTATCCTAAGGATTATGTAAAGTGGTGCCAATCCATATCTGAGGATTGCCTTAATTCAGATTCAGGAAGCAACCCAAATTGAGCTGGTGTCAAGAGTTTTGAGATAGGCAAGATTAAGAAACATAAACTCTTGAGCCTTCTTGTTGTCGTTAAAGTATTATAGCCCAGTCTTGAAAGTCTATCAGATATTCTACCCAGTACTACTTAAGTATAATTTATTCATTTATTTATTTATTTGTTTGTTTGTTTGTTTGTTTGTTTGTTTGTTTGTTTGTTTATTGGTTCGATTTATATGCCACCCTTCTCCGGAGACTCTGGGCGGTTTACAATGCGTTAAGCAATAGCCTTTATACTTTTGTATATACCTGCTTAGTAGGGCTTTCGGCCCCTCCTAACCGGTATTCTTTTTTATACAAAGTCAGCTTGTGGCCCCCACAATCCGGGTCCTCATAATACCATCAATTGCCTTTTTTGTAACACTTATTGGGATTCTAGTATCATTTCGAGAGCCAGTCTGGTATTCCATCATAGGTAGTGGCTTGTATTTGAAAACAAAGACTTGCAACTTTGATGGCTCCTCTATGTTGTTCAAGTGAGCTGTCTTGATTTGGCTTCCAATCCTGTCAAGCTCTAATAGATATGCTTATTTTTCTAAATTTTTTTCCTTGCATTTTTCTTTTAAGACACGGACGAGTGTATGCAGTGCCGAGATGATCAATATCGAAGCCGGAGCAATGACAGCTGCTTCCCCAAGATCATAACATTTCTTTCCTATGAAGAACCACTAGGCATGAGTTTAGTCTCAATAGTCCTTTGTTTCTCACTGGTCACAGTCTTCGTGTTTATTACTTTTATTAAGCACAGTGATACTGCCATAGTCAAAGCCAATAACCGAGAACTCACTTACACTCTCCTTTCCTCCCTCCTCCTTTGCTTCCTCTGTTCTTTCTTCTTCCTTGGCCACCCCCACAAAGTCACTTGCCTCGTTCGCCATGTTGCTTTTGGGATTATCTTTACTGTGGCGGTATCTTGTGTGTTGGCCAAAACCATCACTGTGGTTCTTGCTTTCATGGCCACCAAACCAGGATCCAATGTGAGGAGGTGGATGGGAAAAAGGCTGGCCAACACCATTGTCCTTTTCTGTTCTCTCATTCAAGCTGGCATTTGTACTGTATGGCTTGCCACTGCTCCTCCATACCCCAAGTTGGACATGAAATCCCTGCCGAGCGACATAGTAGCAGAATGCAATGAAGGCTCTACCTTCATGTTTTACTTTGTCTTGGGCTACATGGGACTTCTGTCCATCATCAGCTTCATCGTGGCTTTCCTGGCTAGAAATCTGCCAGATGCTTTCAATGAAGCCAAGTTCATCACTTTCAGCATGATCATGTTTTGCAGTGTTTGGTTGACTTTTATCCCAACTTATTTGAGCACCAAAGGTAAATACATGGTAGCTGTGGAGATCTTCTCCATTTTGGCCTCAGGGGCTGCATTGCTGGCCTGTATCTTTTCTCCAAAAGTTTATATTATCCTGCTGAGACCTGAGCTGAACAATAAGGAGGGATTGATAAGGACAAAGAATAAACCCATGTAATTGCATCCCATTTCATAATGTCATTGACATCAAATAACTCAGTTTCACAACAAGTACCATATTTTTCAGAGTATAAAACACACTTTTGTTCCTCCTAAAAGAGTTTGAAAATTTGGGTGCATCTTATACATCCATGAGGCCAAAAATGCAAGGCACAGAGGCAGTGATGGTCTGTGGCAATCCCTGCAGCCAGGAACAGCTGATTTTGGGTTATTCCAGGAGGCCGATCCACCCACCAATCAGCTGCTCATGCTGAATCAGGCTGCAATAATGTGCTGAAGCTGACCTGGCTGTTTGCTATTTGCTGCAAGGACGTGTCAGAGTTTGTAGCAGCAATCACATCCAGAAAGCACACACAAGTAACTCATTCATCAGGATTCAATAACTTCTTTTTATATATAATATAACACATGAAGTAAATATACAATACCAGAAGCAGGTTTTCCAACGTGGTAGTAAATACAAGCAAAACACAAGCAGAGGAGAGGAGTTTCAGTTTTAGTTTCAGAGCTCAGCACATCAGGCAGCTTTAATACAGAACAGCTGAGCTAAGCCATGCCCAGGCACCTTGCTATCTCCTTGTTGTTCACACAGCAAATACCATTTCAATTTCCAAACAGCCCTCAATTCTCTCACACACTGACAGGACGCTAGCCAGATGAATACCGATGGATGATGGTAGGCAGAGGCAGAATTTTTTTTTCTTATTTTCCTCCCCAAAACTAAGGTGCATCTTATACTCCAGAGCGTCTTATACTCAGAAAAATATTTATATCTGCTAATCTTTTGTTAGTTGACATCACCCAACAAATATATGAAAAAATAAACATAATAAAGTACTTTTGTTTAATTGTAAGTTTCAACAAAAAACCCACTTTCTAATGCAAGATTCTTCGTAAAATTATTCATTGGTAAATCCTACTGAACCCATAGACTGGGATAACACAGAGAATTAAACTGTTGGATAGGAACTCCAAATTGCATTTTCTTTACACTTGAACTAACCAGTGGGATGTTTATTTGAACCCTTATTTATTTGTACTGGTGAAAAGCAAATTTGGATAGAAATTATACTCACATGTAAACAAATTCATTTGTTGAAAAGATGGATGATTTTAATGATATATTGCGACTTATTAGAATTAAAGTATTTGATCTTTTGACCTTTACAAGGATCTCACAATGTAGTCTCTGATGGAATATTTTTAAGAAATATTTTTCATTGTTAAGATTGCTTTTAAATCTCTCACCATCGTTCAAAAAAAAATATATGATTAACTTTCAAAACTTCCACATGAATTTTTAATATTTTTGAACATGTATTTATATTTCTGCCCTAGTGAGATGACTAACTGAGATTTGGTTTCTTAGGATCTGGAACAATATATTACATGAGATCTTATTGATCTCATGTGCTGCTTTTATTTGGCAAAATTTAAATTGCTTTGGTTATATCTTTCATTGTAACCTAAGTTGATTTACATATTGTCGATAGTTTTCTCATATTTTATTTCTAAAGAAGAGATTATACAGAAAAATTACAGTAGACAAACATAGCTTTCTCATGGTCAAGTACCATATTTTTCAGACTATAGGATACATCAGAGTATAAGACACACCAAGATTTTAAAGAGGAAAACAAGAAAAAAATGTTTTTGTTTCTGTGCACCCGGTTTTTGCCCTCCCCGGCCCCCAGGAACACTCTGCAGGCCTCCCAAATCCTCTGCGCATCCTGTTTTTGCAAAAAATGGACCCATTTTTGACCTCCCAAACCCCCCATGAGTCACATTTGTACCCTCCCCAGCCCCCAGGAGCACTTTGCACAGGGGTGAAATGCAAAGGGGTGGTATTGTGACTGGGTGGGCGTGGCCAACTTTTTTTAAAAAAACTTTTCAAAGCATTTTTTCTAATGCTTTGAAAAGCCTCTGCAGATCAGGAAACTCATCTGGGATCGTCAGAGAGGCTTTTTAAAAAATATCTCTCTGCCGATCAGGAAACTCGGCTGGGATCGTCAGAGAGGCTTTTTAAAAAATACCTCTCTGCCGATCAGACAACTCAGCTGGGATTATCAGAGACTTTTCAAAGCATTTTTTTACCACCTTTTCAGCCAAGAGGTTGCAGAAAAAAATGCTTTGAAAAGCCTCTGACTATCCCAGCTGAGCCGAGCGATCATCAGAAGCTTTTTTTTTTTTTTACTTTTAAAAGCATTTTTTTCGTTGGAAGAGGTTGTAGAAAAAAATGCTTTTAAAAGTTTTTTTTAAAAAATGATCCTGCAGCTCAGCTGGACATGGTGGGTGGGGGCAGGGATTTTTGCTACCGGTTCTCCGAACCACCCGCTGCCATCGCTACCGGATCGGGTGATCCGGTCCGAACTGGGAGCATTTCACCCCTGCTCTGCAGGCCTCCCAAACCTTCTGCGCATCCCGTTTTTGCAAAAAATGGGCCTGTTTTTGGCGAAAATGGGATGCACGGGGTGGGGTTTCAGGAGGCCAAAATGGTTGTATTTGGTGTATAAAATGCACCAACATTTCCACCTTCTTTTAGGGGGAGAAAAAGTGTGTCTTATACTCGAAAAGTATGGTATATGTTATTGAAAGGAGCACTTGTATACATTTCGGTGTGTGTATTTTTTATTTTTATTTTTTATTTTATTTTAAATTTATATACCGCCCTTCTCCCTGAGGACTCAGGGCGGTGTACAGCCAGAATTAAAAACATAAAATACAAATATTAAAAAACAATTAAAATATATATAAATTTGGCCCAAAATTAAAAATACAAACCAATTAAAACATTTAAAATTTCTTCTTAAGCCAGCCCGGCTTGCTGGAAAAAATGGGTTTTAAGGGCATGGCGGAAGGCACTAAGGTCTTGGATTCTCCTTATCTCTGGGGGCAACTGATTCCAGAGGGTAGGTGCCTCCACAGAGAAGGCCCTCCCCCTGGGGGTCACCAGCCTACATTGATTGGCTGATGGCACCCTAAGGAGGCCCTCTCTGTGGGAGCGCACAGGACGATGGGAAGTCGTCGGTAGCAGCAGCAGGCGGTCTCGAAGATAGCTAGGCCCGATGCCATGGAGCGCTTTAAAGGTGATAACCAACACCTTGAAGCGCACCCGAAAGACCACTGGGAGCCAGTGCAGCTCGCGCAGGAGCGGTGTTACATGGGAGCGCCATGCTGCTCCCATCACTACCCGCACTGCTGCATTCTGGACCAGTTAGAGCCTCCGGGTGGTCTTCAAGGGGAGCCCCATGTAGAGAGCGTTGCAGTAGTCAAGGCGAGAGGTGACGAGGGCATGAGTGACTGTGCACAGGGAATCCCGATCAAGAAAGGGCCGCAACTGGCGAATCAGGCGAACCTGACAAAAGGTCCCCCTGGTTACAGCTGTCAGATGTTTCTCCAAGGACAGCTGCATATCCAGGAGGACTCCCAGATTGTGAGCCCTTTCTGTGGGGGCCAAAGACTCGCCCCCAATAGTCAGTGATGGAGTCAACTGACTATATCAGGATGCCGGGAGCCACAGCCACTCAGTCTTGGAAGGGTTGAGCTTGAGCCTGTTCCTCCCCATCCAGATCCGCACAGCCTCCAGGCACTGGGACATCACTTCAAGGGCATCATTGGGGTGGCCTGGGGTGGAGATGTACAGCTGGGTGTCATCAGCGTACTGGTGGTATCTCACCCCGAAGCCATGGATGATCTCACCCAGCGGCTTTACATAAATGTTGAACAGAAGGGACGAGAGGACCGATCCCTGTGGCACTCCACAGATGAGAGGCCTCGAGGTCGACCTCTGCCCCCCTGCCAACACAAACTGCAACCGGTTGGAGAGAAAGGAGGAGAACCACCGCAACACGGTGCCTCCCACCCTCAACTCTTCCAGCCGGTGCAGCATGATACCATGGTCGATGGTATCAAAAGCCGTTGAGAGATCTAATAGGACCAGAACAGAGAAGCAACCCCTGTCCCGAGCCCTCCAGAGATCATCAACCAACGCGACCAATGCTGTTTCTGTGCTGTGCCCAGACCTGAAACCTGACTGGAATGGATCTAGATAAGATGTTTCCTCCAGGAATTGTGGGAACTGTCACGCGACCACACTCTCCACAACCTTCGCCATGAAGCCAAGTTTGGAGACAGGATGGTAGTTGGCCAATATTGCCGGATCCAGGGATGGCTACTTGAGGAGAGGCCTCACCACCGCCTCTTTCAAGGCAGCGGGGAAGTGGCCCTCACTCAGCGAAGTGTTGATAACACCCTGGAGCCAGCCTCGTGTAACCTCCCGGGAAGCCAGTACCAACCAGGAGGGACACGGGTCCAGTAAACATGTGGCCGCACTAAGTCTCCCCAAAATCATGTCCACATCATCGGGAGTCACAGTGTCAAACTCCTCCCAGATAACATTCTCAAGACTATTCCTTGTCACTCTGCCTTGATCTACCCAGTCAGAGTCCAAACCCCCCCCGATTTTGTCATACAGGTATTGTCCAAAATCCTCCGCCCTGCCTTCCAAGGGATCCTCCCGCACTCCCGGATGGAGCAGGGAGGGGGTCACCCTAAACAGGGCAGCCGGACAATTCCCTGATGATGCAATAGAGACGGAAAAGTAATTAAACTTTGCCGTCTTTATCGCCACTAGGTAGGTCTTAATATGCGACCTTACCAGTGTTCGATCAGATTCAGCGAGACTGGCCCTCCAACCGCTCTCTAGGCATCTTTTCCGGCACTTCATTTCCCTCAGCTCCTCGGTGAACCAAGGAGCCACACGGGATCGGCACCGGGTCAGAGGCCGCAAAGGCACGACTCGGTCCAAGGCCCCACCAGCCGCCCGATCCCAAGTGGCTACCAGGTCCTCGGCCGAGTCATGTGCTAGAACCTCAGGAAATGGCTCAAGCTCCATCTGGAACCTCTCAGGATCCATCAGGTGCCTGGGGCGGATCCATCTAATTGGATCCGCCTCCCTACGGCGGGGGGCAGCGGTTCAAAGATCTAGGCAAAGGAGTGAGTGGTCTGTCCATGGCAAGGGTTCCATGTCTATATCCCCAATAACAAGACCACTCAACCACTGGCCAGAGACAAAAATCAGGTCCAGAGTGTGACCTCCCCTGTGCGTAGGGCCATGAACTAACTGGGTCAGGTCCATGGCTGTCATGGAAGCCATGAACTCCCGAGCCACCTCAGACATTTCACCAACGGATGGCAAGTTGAAATCACCCATGACTAAAAGCCTGGGTGTATCTACTGCCACCGTGGCTATCACGTCGAGTAGCTCAGGTAGGGCTGTTGCCATGTGGCAGGGAGCCAGGTACGTAAGCAACAAGCCCATCTGAACCTCATGACCCCACCTCACAAGGAGGGACTCACATCCGGCTATCTGAGGCACAGTGGTCTCCCTCGGACCCAGATCCTCGTTAATAATAACCGCCACCCCCCCACCCCTCTCCTGGGCCCTCGGCTGATGGAATGCTCTGAAGCCTGGTGGGCACATTTCGACCAGAGGAACGCCGCCCTCTGGGCCCAACCAGGTCTCTGTAATACCCGCCAGGTCCGCTCCTCCCTCTTGAATAAGATCGTGAATGAGGGGGGCCTTATTTACCACGGACCTGGCGTTGCACAGCATCATCTGAAGGCCCAGATCCTGAGTATCTAAGCCACCTAGTGTCCGAGTGGAGCCTTGGGGACCGGGGCAAGCAATTGCTCTCAAATAGCAAGTGCGAGCCCCCAACACATGATATGGTCCCCTGCTCCCGCCATATCTGCCCCTCCCAT